GACCAGATTAGCTTAGAGAGCCACTTCCTGGGCTGAGGGATGTGTATTGTGTATGTGTGTGTGTTTTGGGGTGGTGGAAGAATAGTATTGCATTTTCTTCCCCTCTCACCTTCCAAAGCCGAGGTGCTCTGCGCAGCTCAAGGGTAACAGTCCCAGTGAGGAGACCCTGAATGGTGTGAGAAAGGCAAGGGTTGAGCTCCGGCCCTATTTGTGAAGGTCCCCCAGGATCTTCCTTCCACCCTCTGTTGTGGTGGATCTTACCAATGCTCCAGGTCCAAGCGGCAGTGCTGTGGCCATGTAACAAGCAGAGTTCAGGCAGGCAACTGAGATAGCTAAAGGTACCACAGCCACTGCTAGCCATAGTTGGCTCACCTGGAGGCCAGATGCAGGGTGGTTGAAGGGGAACTGTCAGGGATTCCCTTCTCTCCTTCCAACCCCTGCCTCTTCCAGTGATCAGCAGTTGGCAGGAATGAGTAGAAAGTAGTCAACCAAGGGCAGTGAAAGAAGGGAATATCATTTAATTTGTTCTATCTCATCTCATAGTTTAGTTACTTACCTATGTGCTTTTCCCACATGATAGAAGCTACTTGTACATTAAGGGTTTTGCCTTATTTATTCTATGCTTCCTCCACCCTCCTCCCTCTAAGAGTACAGCAGTTTCAAAGACATGGTAGGTTTTCACAAAACATGGATGGAATTGAATTGGGGTACAAGTGGGTATGCTGAAGCTTGGTGTAGGGCACCCTGGCCTCACCGCCAGCACCAAGAGGTGCCCACTCTGCCTGTGCCTTGCCCAGTGCTGTAGCTTTTCCAGACGAGGGCTGGGTCTGTCTTGCTCTTGCTGACCAGCTCTGTCCTCCATGGCCCCCTTAATTGCTGAAGTTCAGTGTTTTCCTGGCAAAAATGCATTATGGCACCTGTCAGGAGACAGGTCATGCAGGAACCTCTATTTCAGCTGCCCCTTTGCATGCTTCTAAAATTCAGGGAGTTGAGGCTCGGGGCCTCTCACCTACCTATTCTGAAGCAGCTACTCCAAAGGGATGGGACCCAGCTGGGCCTGAAGCTTCTGGTGGGGCCTGGTAGCTCAGAGCAGACAACAAACTTGTCTTCTGTGAGACAGGCTGTCAGGGCTGGGGTGTGGTGGGGCAAAGGTCCCTAAGAGGGCCTAAGGATCCAGGGAGTGGCCATAGGTAGATACCAGCTTCTGTTCACTCCACAAGATGTCCAGCTCTGCCTCTTTCTGTTCCCGTTTCCTGTTGCCCCTGTCTCTGCCCATCCTGGGTTCCTCTTCTGATCACTTACCCATGGACACTACCACCCTGGGCCCCAATTCCTCCCTCCCCCATTTCCATCTAATCTCCTTTTTTTTGGTTGCCTACTCAAATTACTTGCTGTTCCCTAGGGAAATCCCACATTACTGTCTGGATTGTTCCCATGTCATTACCACTTGCAGCTTTGTCCCAAGACCAGGCAAGGTTTAATTTCCCTGGCTTCCTGTCTGTCACTTTCTGAATGGTTTCTCCTCTCTCCTTCCTTTTTTGCAGGATTTACTCTGGATGGGGCACTGACAAAGTGGATGGGGTGCCCTGTTTATAGTGGGGATTGTTTTTGGCTAGTGATAACCTACAGCTAGATATGTATAGAAGATAGTCCCCAAATGATCAGTCTTGGGAAGGACACTATTGCAACAATTAGTACTTTCGAGAGATACAAGCTGCCTTGCAGCCAGGCTGACCTAGACTAAAATCTCAGCTCTGCCACTTTCCTAGCTGTGTGACCTTGAATACATTATTCTACCTATTTGAACCACTGTTTGTTCAAACTGAGTGATAAAACGGGGGCTAATAATATGACTGTGAAGGGTTGTTGACTCACGGTGAGTGCTTAGTAACCATTAGTGGTGTTGATGAGGTCATACTGTTGTGCCTGATGCCCATATACTAAAGGGCTTATTCAGAAGCTAAACTGGGGATATTTATTTCTACAGTAAGAAGCAGCACCAGCTGGGCCCAAATATATACTCTAGAGATCAAAAATAGGGAAGGTACATCTTGATGCAGAGCCTAAGGTCTGGAGGCAACCAGACCTATGTTCAAATCCCAGATCTACCGGGGTGACCTTGTGCAAGTTGCTTAATCTCTGTTTCCTTACCTATAAAGGGAAGTTAATAATACCACAGGGTTCCCTTGAGTATTAAAAGAGAAAATGCATATAAACCATCTCAGCCCAACACCTTGCACATAAGTGCTCAATAAATGTTAGTGGCTATTATCATTATTATTATTGATGGTGAAAGAAGACTGAGCCAGAAGACCCCTGGGAGTTAGTACCAGGAGGCTGGTTCCTGGGAGGAAAGTGGCCTTTGTAAGCCATTTATGCCCTGCTCAGTGTTGGGCCAACAGTCACTAGAGCAGTGTCCACTCTTCTTTTCTGGGGAGTGGGAATCACACTTAAAAGAGATAAGAACTGTTGTGCATCTGCTTCCTCCTCCATCCCCATATGTATTAACTTTATTTGGTGGCGATGGATGGCCTGACAGAATGTGAGATGTTGGGCTTGCACTGAGGATCCCTGAGCTGGCAGGCAGTCCAGTGGAAAGAGACTCTTTAGCCTAATTTTCCTTACCTATAAATACAGACTTATATTTCAGAGTGTTATTGTAAATATTATAAACTCTTAAATATGTGAATAGGCATTCAGTAATTATTGATTAAATCTGAGTATACTACATAAAAATTTGTAGCCGTGTCTAGATTATAATCTAACCGAGGGTACTACACCCTCCTCATCCGTTCATCCCCCACAGCGTTGAGCATAGTGCCTGGTACTTAGTAAGCACTCAGTAAATATTTGTTGTATTGAAGAGCCATTAAAGTGACTTAAGGAATGGAAAATAGAATTCGAGAGGAAGGCGCAGGAATTGTTTATCAAGAACAGAAAGGACCGAGGAGTAACTTTAATAATGTTTCTTATACGGCAGACATTAACTATCTCTATAATCGCCCCTCCTCCTCCCCAAAAAGAGAGACAAATTGTAGGGAGAGGCTTTGAGATAAAACCCCAGGAAGAACTTCCCGAGTCTGTGCATGTTGGGGCAGAAAAAGCGGCAGAGCCAACTCCTTCCCTGGTATGTCCGGGTTTAGGGTGGGAGGGGCAGCGCTACTTGGAGGCTGGGGGAAGGACGAGATGACCTTTCAAAATCTCTTCCAGTCTTCAGTAGAAATCGTCTGTGCGCCCCACCCCCTCCTCCCCTCCTACAGC